CACCAATTTTTATTACTGCTACAGAAAGCTTGTGATATAAATACTACCCGAGTATTCCGACACCCATAAACCGAGACCCCAACTTTGTACATTATGACTTTATTTACTCCTTGCAGGTATACTTAGTGTCGTAAACTTGTAGTGGGCGATGGCCAATTTCTAAGGAGGTAGGTTCCTGATTGCAATTGGAGTGATACCTTTACTAGACGTTGAGATGAGGGGATGTGCGGTAAGATTGAGGTAGAGGATTTGCGTAAGAATGACAAGATCGATATTAATGTAAGCTATGGATAGTTGAAATGCTTATGTTTGTTTTCGAATTTGATTTGGTGCAATTCTTCTAGAATGTCGTCGATATATAAATAATACTGAGCGATCATGTCAGCAGCGCTTAAAGGTTAAGAATTCGGCATCGAGCAGGCTGTATTTTTTCATTTATATTAAATGTGTGTCTCGCAAGGTGTTTTGCCGGGCCTAGACCTTGAGAACATACACGTGATATTAGTGTGATTCAGCCTTGAATTTCAGCGCTCGTCATCTTTCCTTCAGATTCCAGAAGCTACTATTTGTGCGACTTAATACCAAGAGTTTGTCCGTGATTACGGCTGGCAAATTAACTTCCTCTGACCAACATATTCGGTATTAATTGTATCTTTTGAGATGGCTGACGAACTCAAAGCGTTGGGCAACAAAGCCATTGCGGAAAAGAACTTTGATGAAGCAATGTGAGTCAACTATTTGCTTGGGCCCTTTCTCCATAGTTATGAACCATGATGAAGGGCAAACTCTTTAATCAACTCTAACTTCATTCTAGTACCAAGTTCTCCGAAGCCATAGCGATTGAACCAGCTAACCACATTCTCTACTCAAATCGCTCTGCCGCATACGCATCAAAGAAAGATTATGACAAGGCTCTAGCAGATGCTGAGAAAGTAACAGAGATTCACCCTGATTGGGCTAAAGGATGGGGTCGTGTAGGTGCTGCTAAGCATGGAGCTGGGGATTTGACAGGTGCCCTCGAGGCTTACGAAAAAGGGTTACAACTGGACCCAAACAATGCTCAGAACAAATCAGGACTGGCAAGTGTTAAACGTGCTCTGGAAACAGAAACTAAAGGTACAAAATGCTGTCAGAATCTAGACAATAATACTAAATTTGCACAGGTGACTTAGGTAGTAGCCCGGGTGGGGGCTTAGGCTCCATTTTCAACGACCCAATGCTCTATCAAAAGCTTGCTGCCAACCCTAAGACTAGCAAACTTCTTGCTGATCCAAGCTTCATGGCAAAATTAAACAACATGAAAAATAATCCAAACTCCTCGCAAGATATGTTCACTGACCCCCGGATGATACAGGTTCTAGGTGCTTTAATGGGTGTGGATATGTCAATGATGAACGGGGATGATGCCATGCCTGAGGATGGGTCAGCTGTAGTTGGTGATAAAGATACACCTATGACTGATGCGAAGCTATCGGAACCGAAAGAGCCAGAGATTAATTCTATGGACGTTGAAACAGATGAGAAAGCCAAAGCTAAGGCTGCCGCCGATAAAGAAAAAAGTTTAGGCACAGAGCAATACAAAAAACGTAATTTTGATGAAGCTATTGCTCACTATACTAAGGCTTGGGAGCTCTGCAAAGATATTGTCTATCTTAACAATGTTGGGGCAGTACACTTCGAAAAAGGTGATTATGATTCATCAATCAAGGTTTGCGAACAGGCCATTGAAGAGGGTCGTGAGATTTACGCTGATTTCAAAATGATCGCCAAATCATATGCTCGAATCGGTTATGCATATGAGAAAAAAGGGGATTTTGACAACGCTATAGTCAATTACAAGAAATCCCTGACGGAGCACCGTACACCAGACACTGTAAACAAACTTCGAAGTGCAGAAAAGAAAAAGATAGAGATGTCACGAGAAGCATATATCGATCCCGAGAAAGCTGAGGAAGCTCGTGAGACCGGAAATACTAAATTCAAAGAGTCTGACTGGCCAGGTGCGGTCGAAGCATATTCTGAGATGATCAAGCGTGCACCTGAAGATCCCCGTGGTTACTCAAACCGTGCAGCTGCTTTTATGAAGCTGCTTGAATTCCCTTCGGCAATTGAGGATTGTGACAAAGCTATTAAGAAGGATCCAAAATTCATCCGAGCATACCTGCGAAAGGCACAAGCCTATTTCGGCATGCGTGAATACTCTAAATGCCTCGATATATGTACCGAGGCTGCTGAAGTTGATGTTAACAAGGCTAATACTAGAGAAATTGATGCACAACAGCAGAAGGCCCTGCAGGCTATGTATAGTGCACGAGAAAATGAGACAGAGGAACAAACAAAAGAGCGAATCCAGCGGGATCCGGCGATATTAGAGATTATGCAAGATCCAATTATGCAGAGCATTCTTCAGCAAGCACAGAGTGATCCTGCAGCCTTACAGGAACATATGAGAAATCCAGGGATTAAAAGTAAAATCCAGAAGCTAGTGGCAGGTTGGTAACCCTTTATCCTATTTGTTTAATACGTACTAACAAAATAAATAAGCTGGTGTTATTCGTGTTGGAAGATGAGTGTCTAATTTCTAAAATTGGTACCTGAAAATACATTGATTGAATATTTGCGGATCGTTGAAACGTGTCACGAAGGTGAATTGGCGTCATTACTTGACAAGTAGACTTGAAATCCGGAAATGTAATTTATTTATTGCTGATTTGAGCGACTTCAAATTCAAAATATTCCAACGATCTTTTAAACATAGACCACACAGGTTAAAGCACTCCGAATAATTTTGAACCTATATACCCAAGCTGATTGAAATTTTATTTCGAAGTGACGCAAAGCATGAGGCACGAGTGCCACCCGAACTCAATGCAACTTGCAATTTAGTTGTGCAGTATAACTCAAATTAAGTCAATTTCATATAGTGTAGTGAACTGATGAAGTTGGTCATGTTTATTCAGTACCTTACGATCATAGTGTCTCACGTAAACTATTATCATGGATGGAGACCCCAGACCTCTCCAATGGTTTAAATCCCCTGATTGGATCACCAATAATGAATGTTGGTGAATTTTGGTATCAGGTTCAGAATGCAGCTGAACATACTGCAAAATTGATTTGATATCACTACAAAAGGATAGTGCGAAGTATGTACGATGTTTACGACCCGGGCACTACAGACGAATTGATTAAATATTGGTTTACGTCGGTTGGTTATATACACGTGTACGCGCACGCAATGGTTTTCTCTCTGATGTGGTGGTTCTTGTTCTTGTATTTCTTGGATACAGGCGTGTCAGCCTTAAGGGCGACACGCCAAGCTGCACTAATCCACGTGACTAACTATCAACATATTGCAATCTCTCTCCTGACCCATGCACATCCCAAAATAGTTTTTTGTTTGTAATTTTAAGGTCCTAAGCTACTGCTCCCGGTCCGCTATGGGTACAAGACCGGTGGAGCCGGAAGGGATCCCTGTGTTCTTTACCACAGCCCAACTCATTTCAACCGCGTGAAACCACTACCTAAATTGTAGCCGGTTTAAAACAAAACAAATTCTAACAGTCAAAAGTAATAAACAAAGGAAATTCCATCGGGTTTCGGAATCCTGGAATCCGAAGAAGAAGTTTGAGGGTACAGCAACCCTCGGTGAAGTCTACAAAAAGCTTCAATATATATAGCAGGATACCAGCTGAATTCAGGGTATCTGCGAACTAGTCTTTCGCTCTCAGCGGAGATAAGAAAAAGTCATCTGGAAGATGTGGCAGGAAAGGGAACGGGCGAGAAGCGCGGGATCCGGACCAAACAGTATTTCTTCCAAATTTGATTTCAGTTTTTGATTTATGTTTTTGATTTTAGTTTTGCTGTTAACTTTTACAATTTCAGTAGAAGTTCATGCGGTTGGAATGAGTTGGGCCTGTACGCAGTGATCCTTGCCGGCTCCACCGGTCCTTGACCCAATGTGGAAAAGATAGCGTTAGCTTAGGACCAAATGTAATAAAAAAAAAAAAAAAGGAAATTCCAATTTAACGGTCCAGTATCAGCGCTCCTCAACCTGACTCCTTCCCTTTCACGGTTTTCACCATAAATATTATCCTTCGCCCATGCTGAGAGCTTTGGACAAGGTCGCAGGTTGGCTTTTGAAGCAGCCAGTTTTCTGCGCAAACGTTGAAAATTCTTTGAGGCATTTGGGCCCTAGAAGAATTTTAAGATTTTGTTGGTATGGGGTAGTTCCCCTTAGTCGTCGGATATGACGAGTGTAAAGTCTGCAATGCATGAAATGCGTTGCTGTAGTCTCCTCTCCGCACGAACACTTCATGTTCGCGTTTGGGTTGTTGAAACGTCTGTGGTACGCGGCGAAATTTCCGTAATCACTACGAGCCGCGATGACTTCAAACAGAAGTCGTCGTGGAAGTGATAGTTCCGGTGGCTTTTTCAGCGCATCATCAAGTCTAGTTCGCAGTATCTGGGTGGGCATGATTCGTCCCAGAATTGGTCTAGCAGCATCTGTCTCTTCTGATTCATAAGCCGGTAGAGGTATGCACTGCTGATGTTTTGCGGCTCCTCATTTGGAGGGGGAGACTGCGGAGTTTGCTCCGAGCTGCAGCATCTGCTTCTTCGCTCCCTTGAATGCCCTTGTGTCCTGGAACCCATTTTACGATGATTCTTTCGGGAGCAGCCTGTGTCATTGTCCGAAATATTCGGGCTTCTTTAATGCTTGTCGATGTGTCTCCGGACAGCATAGCGGTTCTTGCATGCTGACTGTCGGTCAGCACGTAGATAGGTTGCGCCACTTTTCCTGGGGTCCGAGATTCCAGCCCACTTATTTGCAATGCCACCTCTAGAGCCTTCCTCACTCCGACTATCTCAGCGTCCAGTACCTTCCCCCCATGTATGGTACCGGAATCTCTATCAATGGTCTTTCCGTCTCTTTTCAAGATAAAAGCCCACGCCGAGCGACCGTGTCTTTCTGATGCCCCATCAGAGTAGGATCCCAAAATAGTGTTGCGACAGTTTAATTGTTATTTTAGAGTACCAGCCAAAAGCTATACATCTAATTAGACCTGACACGGGCGGCTCATCCGAGAAATTCAATACTACCAGGGTAAACAATTGAATACAAATCAGGAAAAACAGGGGAAAAATTCGCCGCCGAACGAGATTTTTAAGTCCGATCACCTATGCATCGCCTGAACCACCCGTTTTGTGTTTTTTTAATGTACTACTTGAGTCTATGACTATTTAGCAAATTGAGCTCCTCTCTGGCCCAGGCCACACCTAGTACAGTGCTCCTTGCTTCTTTTGTTGCTTAAAAGATCATTAATATGTATCCCGTGGTGAATAGCCATTCAGCTCAGTGTTTACCCGTAGAATCTTCTACCCCCACATAAATTGTAGCAATGGAAACTACGTGCGCGGGAAAAAGTCTCAAAAAACCTGCAGCTCCAGCCAGGCGAGGCCCAGACACCGGGACCACATGAGGTGCGCATATTCATCTATATCTCCCTTCTTTGTGACAGTCGAGGCCGACTTGATCCAATCCACCATCTCCGTGTCTGGTGCCGGGTACGCTCCGGAAACTCATCGGATGGCTTCTCCTCCATGATCAAGGGTTGGTGATGATAGGGCTTCGACTCTACCATCTGATCTGATCGTGGTTAGCTTCATGATAATGGTGATAGGGGAATGTTTTGAGAGATGAAGACGATACAGACCGCGAGAGCGATTGGGAATCCTCGTCGAAGTGAGGACTTTGTTACTCAACATCGGCTCTGCAGACTCTACAGTGAGAGCTGAAGGTTCGTAGGGGACACCACTGACAGGTGTTGAGAATAGTCCCCCAGACCATCCGTTGTATTCCAGCATGGGATTACTCACTATGGCAATACCGTGGCTTGCGCTAATGGTTGCCATATTCACCGGTGTTATTTTCTCATCCTTCAATCCACTGAAGCAAACATGGTATTTCCTATATTTAAAGTGTTTGTAGCACCATCCGAAATCATGGCCTCGGCGCCCACAAGCACCTCAAAATTGAAAAAACCCCGAAAATTTGAGTCCTAGTATGCCCATTTGTGACTTACACTCACTCGTCCCACAACCGAGCTGCCTATCCCTCTTCAAGATGAGAAGTCTCATTAGAACAACAGTCTCTCATAGACTAATACCCACTTTTTGTTCATTATAACTTATTCTTCTCTTTTCGAGTATAGATAGTCTCACCATTTTGTAGTGGAAAATGGCTTGTAATCGATAGGGCAAGTTCTCGTTTGAAATTGGAGTCTTTCATGGCGCCCAAATCTTCTGCGTCAATTATTTCGGTTCTGGAAAGCGGATCAGAACCACCAACAAATAACTTGCCTTTTTGGTGTACTACACATCCCCAAGATGATTCTCTAGGACCCGATAAAATTTCACCGGAGAAAATACGGGCTATATTAGTTGGCAGGAAACTTAACCATCGTTTTATACTTCCAGACCTAGCTTTATTTTCTCGACGACATGGACTCGATGCTGGGGAGCTGCATGGAAAGTAAGCTTTCCCAGGGCTTTTGGCTGTCGGAACTTGACGCACGCTCGTTGGAAGGCATGTCTTGTATAACTCTGCTTTTATTTTGATTTGACTAGTTTGAGGTATCAGACTAAAGCCTTACACCTAGGAGGCTTGACACGGTTGCGTGTTCCCGGAGGAACCAAAATTACTAATGAAGCTATCTTTATATATCCAGGAATTTACACGAATTAAATCCAAAAATTTAAATGGAAATTTCTGCTGCCGTGACTCAACGCTCACCACTTAATCAGTTTTCTCAACAGTTTGCCTGTATTATTTGTATTCCGGTAAACCTCGGTCATTCCAGTCTAACTTTGCTCCGCGTAACTTTCCGTCACGGTAAAGAATAGATAAAATACTTCCAATCCATTTTCTACCGACAGCATCCACACAGTTGGCGCTATTTCCTTTGCTGCTCTTCGCCATTGTTTTAGCTCAATACATCATTCTAAAAGATTCTATGGGCGTCTTTCTCAGCCATTTTCGTACCTAAATTCTATTCCTTCGTGGTGAAACTTTTCATAATACTTGGAGAAGTTTCTGTAAGCAGTAGTAGCCGCTTTCAGACGATGAGACGCCCATCTTAGGATAGCTAGCCCTGGTGATCGTTTTCATTTCGCCAACAAGTACAGGCCTTTAGATCGACTAGGTCTATTTTCTCGCCACCAAGATTCGATAGTCCCCTCAGCACAACCTCAGATTTATGGACTGAAATCTATAAAAATGTATCTTTGTCTTTGATTCGACCTTGAAGTAAATATTGCATTTGAGAAAGCTGGAAAATATTTCAGAGCTGATTTAGTTAGTTTTTCCGCATGGATGTTCCCGAGAATTTCAGAATGTTCTAGGATCCATCGTGTCTCCACTGACTTGTTCGATTGTAATAGAGTCGTAAATTGGTAGACTGTGACTTGAAGCGACTTGTCTCGGCCTGTTCCGAGGGACTG